TTTACCAAAAAAAAAAAGCTGCGGCCGGGGCCTTGCCCGCCAGCGAGCGGGAGGGAGGGAAGGCGGCAGGCGGCGGTGACGCAGCCCGTGTCGTGCCTTGAACCGCGGAGCGAGGGTTGGTTTTAAGTGGAAAACAGCCCGGAGGCTCTGCAAACCTTCCAGCTCCATCCTCGCTCCCAGGTCGGGATGCGCCCAGCTCCTGAGCAGCGTGGGGGGGACCTGAGGGGGGACACGTTGTGCCGTGAAGCGCTCCACCGAGTTAAGAAATTAAGAGTTTTTAAGCAAGAATTGGGACGGGCACCCAATTTCGTTGCAGCATTGCACGTGCCTGGTGGAGACGGGGGCCCGGGGACCCCCCCTGTGGCCCAGCCTGGGCCTTAGGGGACCTTCTCGCATGCTCTGTGGGGACACCAGGGATGTGGGGACATGGGGAGTGCATATGGGGACATGGGGGGTTCGGGGACACGGGGGTTGCTGGGACCTCGGGGACAAGCTCAATTTGGGGCTGCTCTCACGTGGTGGGGATGGGCTTAGCCCGCAACCCTGGCAAGACGTACCGCTTCGACAACGAGGCACCCAGACCAGGCCTCCCCGGCTTTTGGCACCCATGGGTGCTGCCAGGCCCAGTGCAGCGGTGAGCGCATGCCCCGGGAGCCCCTGCAGGGCAGAGGCCTGGTGTGCTCATGACTTTGTCCTCCTTGCTGCCTGGCCCCAGCCCTGCTCTGTCCCCAGCTGTGTGTCCCTGCCTGTCCCCAGCCCAGCCCATGTCCCCCTGTCCCCAGGGCCAGCACCAGGCCCAGAGCAGTGAGACACAGGACTCAGAACCACTCCTTTATTCACCAGGGCCTGGGTGCAGGATGAGGGTGATGGCACGGGCATGGGGATGGCGTGGGCATGGCGTGGGCAAGGGGCTGGCATGGGCATGGTGGGCATGGGTGCAGCATGGGCATGGGGATGGTGTGGGCATGGCGTGGGCATGGGCACAGTGGTGGAAAACCAAGAATGCCATGGGCACCATGGTCATGGTGAAGGCATGGGGATGGTATGGGCGTTGACACATCAGGGACACGGTGAGGGCATGGACATGGTGAACACAGGGGGGATGGTGTGGGCATTGGTGCATCATGGGCATGGTGAGGGCATGGACATGGTGAAGGTGTGGGGATGGTGTGGGCATTGACACATCATGGACATGGGGACAGCATGGACATGATGAAGGCATGAGGATGGTGTGGGGATGGCATGAGCATAGCGTGGGCATGGAGATGGGGTGGGCATGGGCAAGGTGTGGGCACAGCGTAGACATGGGGATGGCATGGATGTGGTGTGGGCATGGGCAGGGTGTGGGCACGGCATGGGGATGGGGATGGTGTGGGCAGGTGCATGGCATGGGCAAGGGGATGGTGGGCACAGAGATGGCAGGGCATGGACATGGCATGTGCATGGAGATGGCATGGGCATGGAGAGAGCATGGGCATGGAGATGGCATGAGCATGGAGAGAGCATAGGCATGCAGAAGACACCAGCACAGAGTGGGGGAAGATCCTGGCGCTGTCCCAGGCCTGGCGCTGTCGCTGCGTGGTGGCCGGTCTCTCATTTCCAGCTGCTGAAGAACTGCTTGAACAGGGGGCTCTCACGGCCCTGGGGCAGGATCTCCACCTGTGGGACAGGAACGGGTGACAACGCCGCACTGGGTCCTGTGGGCACCCTCACCCCAGCTCTGCACCCACCTGGGTCCGGGGCGAGTACCCCATGCGGGCGATGAACTCCTCGGCTACCCTGAGGGCCGCCTGGCGCTCCTGCTCGTTGGCCTTGCGCCCTGCAGATGGGGAGGTCAGAGCTGGCCCTGGGGCCACCCCTGGGGGAGGCCCCTGTCCCCTGTCCCCACCCAGCAGGCACCTTTCCACACGTAGATCTTGCCACAGGCGCCGTTGTCCAGCACGAAGCAGTCGTCGGTGCAGAGCAGGTCCTGGCTGAAGGGGCTGCTGGTTGCCACCTGGCTCAGGTCCATGCGCCCTGTGGCGTCCGACACCTGCCCGTGGCCATGGTGTCACCGTGGGGCCACCAGGATATCCCCCAGCTGAGCCCAGCCTGGTGGCCCCTCTGGGCACAATGGTAATGTCCCATGGCTGTGCCCAGTCCCATGTCCCCCCAGGGCCACCACGTGGTGTCCCCTAGCCATGCCCAGCCCCAAGTCCTCCTCAGGGGCACCACGGCATCTCCTGGTCATGCCTAGCCCCGTGTCCCCTCCCCCCCAGGGGCACCATGTCCTCGCCTTGTAGAGGACAGCCGCCCCTGCATTCTTCTGGTCGGCCATGACATCCTCCTCGGGGCTGCCCTCCTGCAAGGCGGGTTTGGGACCTAGCACCTGAGGAGGAGGAGAACATGGACATCCTAAAGCCACTGAGGCCAGCATGCGGGGACACCTGGGTCCACCCCCACCCCACTGTGCCCAGCGCACCTGGAGCATCTCGGGGGGCTCCTCGCCATCAGCCACAACCTCCACGTGGGCCTTGCCACGCCGCTCGCCGTCCCGGATGGCGGCAGCCAGGTCCTGTGCCTTGTTGCGCTCCAGCACGTTGGACTTGGCCCCGCACCACACAAAGATGCTCTGGAGGACGTGGAGAGGGACTGACATCACTGAGCCGGCCCAGCCCGTCGCGCCACCGCACCAGCAGCCCCAGACCCACCTCGCCCAGGTCGAGGATGAAGCAGTCACCCGTGTTGAAGCTGGCCCAGCTGAGGTCCCGCTCGCTGGCCCGGATGTTCCTCCTGCCCTTCACTTGGTAGAGCCGGAGCACGGGGCCCGAGGCGGTGGCCGGATGTGGGCTCCTGAATGGCGAGTCCACGCCGCCGGGCACGGGGCGGGTGCTGAGTGCCCAGCTGGGGATGCCGAGCACCCATCGAGGATGCTGAGCAGCCAGCAGGGATGCCCAGCACCCATCAATGATGCCCAGCATCCGATGGGGATGCTGAGCACCCATCGAGGATGCTGAACAGCCAGCAGGCATGTCCAGCACCCATCGATGATGTGCAGCACACCTTGAGGATGCTGAGCACCCATCGAGGATGCTGAGCACCCAATAGGGATGTCAAGTGCCCAGCAGGGATGCTGAGCACCCAGAGGAGATGCTGACAACTTACTAGGGATGCCAAGCACCCAGCCAGGGTGCTGAGTACCTGGTGGGGATGCCAAGCACCAGTGGGGATGTGGAGCACCCAATGATGATGCTGAATGCCCAGCAGGGATGCTGAGCACCCATCAGTGATGCCCAGCACCTGATGGGGATGCTGAGAAACTGGTGGGGATGCCAAGCACCCAGGAAGGATGATAGGCACCCACCAGGGTTGCTAAGCACCCATGGAGGATGCTGAGCACCCAGCAGGGATGTTGAACACCCAGCAGGGATGCTGAATACCCATCGATGGTGCCCAGTACCCACCAGGGATGCTAAGCACCCATGGAGGATGCCGTGCACCCTGTGGAGATGCTGAGCACCCAGCGGGGAGCCAACAGGGTGGCCGGGCGCCGTACCTGGTACTTGACGCCGCGGGGGAAGTACTCCATGAAGACGTCGGACTCGTTGCCCTGCACCTCGCGGTACTGCACGGGGCGCTCGTCCAGCAGCGCGTTGAGCTGGGTGGACAGCAGGGCGCAGGCGCCCTGCTCATCCCGCGACGAGTCCCGGCCTGCCAGGGCAAGGTCCCCTGAGCATGCTGGGCTGCACCGGGCCACCCCGTGCCACGCGACTCCGCGGCTCACCGATCCAGAGGTGCAGGTGAGCTCGCTCGTCAGGCCCATTGTGCAGCACCAGGTAGGAGTCCCCCGAGCAGAAGATGCCCCAGGCGGCTT